GTGGGAGGAACACCCAAGATGTTTAGGGTATATCTTCAGAATAGCCTGAGAGAGGTGTTCTGGGTGGGTAGTGGTGGTACAATTCTGAACTGTGTAGCCTGAGTGAATTTGATTTCAAATCTCAGGTGTTTATTTGAAATGAATAGAACTAGAATAAAGAAGGCAATACTTGTGATAAGCTTTATTTGTCTCAGCTGTTAGTGTTGCTTTAACTGAGGTATAGGGCAGAGATAGCCTCTTCCATTAGTCCTGAATATGGACATAGTTATTGATATGAGGTGCTTAACCTGGTCTTCTTAGCCTTACCAGAGGTCACATACAAGCAGAAGTGTGGGCAACAGCATAAGACTTTGTGATGTGGGATTCTCCTTTGTATGCTGTGAATACCATTGGTTATTATTGGTTAATAAAGAATCTTCGTTGGGCCTATTGCAGTGTAGAATAGGACAAGGCAAGAATTCCAAGCATATAGAGAAGAAGAGAGTAAGCAGAGTCAAGGAGACACCATGTAGCCAATGGAGGAGATAGATGCTAGATGGAACCTTACCGGTAGGCCACAACCATGTGATGATACATAGATTAATAGAGATGGGTTAACTTAAGATATAAGAGCTAGCTAGCAATATACCTAAGTGATTGGCCAAATAGTGACCAAACAGTGATTTAATTAATGCAGTTTCTGTGCAATTATTTCGAGTATGGGCAGCCGGAAAAAAAAATAAGTGGTCTCTGCCAACATCTGTGTGGAGATAAGATTAGAATCCTGAATTATAATTGTTCAGTATGAAACATAAGTATCACAATGGGGATTTAGGATTGTCCCATGAAGTGGAGACATCTCGTGGGACTGAACATTCAAGACATAAAACCAGACACTCCCAGTAGATAGTGTCAGAATTAAGTTAGGCAACATCCTTTGGGTGTTCACTAGAGAAAAAATTGCTTAATTTCTGGGGAACTATACAACTCTCCATATGTCAATATGAAGTATTGAACATATTAAGGTAAAAGTAGAAAAAATCTTGATTTTTTTTCCCATTATTTGATATGACCCCAACATTTATCTCTCAGACTGTTCTATAAGGACTCTAAAAATTGCGCTCATCAGTGTCCTTTGGGTGCAATGCCAATGCACAGATAGGACAGACAAAGCGAAACAAACAACTCCCTCATAAAAAGAAACAACCACATAAAACAAAAGAAAATTTTAAATTAAACAGAGCTGTTGTAATGAAAACTTATTGAGAAGCAAGAACACAAGGCTTCCTGTGGTCTGATGATACAGCACAGCTGTGAGGCCCTGTGAGAATGCATGCAAACTCTCATTTTCCTGCTACATTTTCTAAGAATAATAAGTCAAGTATAAAGAGTTTTCAGTATAAATAATCAAGTTGTGGTCTGTCAGTCAGCTCATTAGCAGGACGAGAGAGATGATTAAAAATTCAAATATTTGCTCATTTTATTCATATCTATCAAATCTGAATCTATATTTTTATCATTGCTCCAGGTAATCTGAAGGCACAAAACATTGTGTAATTAAAAAATATTGGAGTGCAGTCCCTATCAAAGAACAAGTGAAGTTTTATAGGTCAGCCACAGGGTATCAAGAGACACCTTGGGGACCAGTGGAATGTGGCTCAGGAATTGACTTCATCTAGAGACCCTATCTTCATTAAGGTGCCTATTACTGTGAAGAAACACCATAACCATGGCAACTCTTATAAAGAAAAACATTTTATTGAGGTGGCGATGCCAGGTACCAGGGTATACACATTTCAGGGTAGGGGCGTGTGGATTAGAAATATTAGGCAGAAAGAACAGAGATATGAAAGAAAAGGACAGAGACAAAGAATAGAGTTGGGGGGATTCAGTATATACTGAAATCTCCCACATCTATTTTCCATATGCTTATATACCCCAATCCAGAAAAGCTGGGGGGGGGGACAAAAGACTGCTTTAACATGATACAAAGAATAAACAGCAATTACCTCTTCAATACCTGAAGCATCAAGCAAGTATATACTGAGTTAAATATTCTGTTGTTTAGGCAGGACATGCAGCAATCATATCTTAGGCCAAGCATCTTATAGGTAGCCACTCCCTGGATCAAACCTCCAGTCATATCCTTGAAGGAGCAGGAATATGCCTGAATTCTCTGATCTTTGGTCAAGATGGAACAGATTCACCTCTGTGGGCCATCTTAATACCCAAAGAGGCAAGCAGCCACGCCCTTGGTCAAGATATCTTGTTAATAGCCACATTTTAAGTCAAACCTCTTGTCATTAACCTTAAAGGAGCAAGAATGGACCTGAATTCTCTGACCATTATTCAAGGTGAAAAACACTTCTGTGGGCTCCCACAGGTTTATAGTTTCAGAGTTTTAGTTCATTATCATCATAGAGGGACATAGCAGTGTGCAGGCACACATGGTGCTGGAAAAGGATCTGAGAGTTCAACATCTTGATTTTCAGGCAACAGGAAGTGAACTGTCTACCACACTGGGCATAACTTGAACAAAGGAGACCTCAAAGCCCACCCACAGAATGACACACTTCTTCCAACAAGGCCACACCTACTCCAACAAGGCCACATCTCTTAGTACTGCCAGTCCTTTGGGAGATATTTTCTTTCAAAGCACCACAGACTACATTCTATCCTTTTGAAATAGGAGAACTAATATCTCAACATTATTCATGGTATTTCATAGTACAGGGTCTTGTAACTGCGGGCACTTCATTTGTAAGATTTGTAACTTCCACTTTTCACCGGACTAAGAGTAACACACATCATAACTAATTTTAATAATTGATAATTTTAAAATAACCAATTTCTTTCCCAATAGTTTTGCAATTCCTTTGCAACTCCTTTGGAAGGTGTGATTAATCAGTAATATTTTCTCCATAAGAATATTAAACTTCATCAGGCGATGAAAGGAGACAGAGACAGAGACCCACATTGGAGCACCGGACTGAAATCTCAAGGTCCAAATCAGGAGCAGAAGGAGAGAGAGCACAAGCAAGGAACTCAGGACCGCGAGGGATGCACCCATACACTGAGATAATGGGGATGTTCTATCGGGAACTCACCAAGGCCAGCTGGCCTGGGTCTGAAAAAGCCTGGGTCAAAACCGGTCTCGCTGAACATAGCGGACAAGGAGGACTACTGAGACCTCAAGAACAATGGCAATGGGTTTTTGACTCTACTGGACCTATTGGTGTCGTGGGAGCCTAGGCAGTTTCGTGGATGCTCACCTTACTAGACCTGGATGGAGGTGGGTGGTCCTTGGACTTCCCACAGGGCAGAGAACCCTGATTGCTCTTTGGGCTGACGAGGGAGGGGGACTTGATTGGGGGAGGGGGAGGAAAAGGGGAGGCGGCGGTGGGGAAGAGACAGAAATCTTTAATAAATAAATAAATTTAAAAGAAAAAAAGAGAAAGTTTTCAAAGAATGAACAAATCTAAAATGGAATGTGACTAATTCAGAGGAAGATGTCTAAGTACTGCCTGCCATGCTTTGGCTGGATAAATCTCCAGGCTCAAAGGGAAACACCTATATCATCAACTTTGTGCTCTGTGTTTCTCTAAAAGTGTCATAATTCTTTGACTACCAGTGTTATTATGAAGAACAATCAGCCCCTCATGCCTGACCCCTAGCCCATTAGACTTTGGAGTTCAGGCAAACTCATCATGAAAACTGTTCAGCTGTGAAGAATCCACCTTTACTCCCAGTATCCTATCTTTGGATATCTAGCCTAGTATGTCTGACAGCGCTGGTACTGATAGATATGTGGTTAAGTAGAGAGGATCTGGCAGTAAGACTCTCTAAGGCAGAGTCCAATCTGTGCTGCTACATGGAATACACACATCCAAGAAAAAAAATGATGACAGAACCTTCTTTGTGGGATTTTTATGATGCCCAAATGAAATGATGCATGTGAAGTTCTATCAATGTGTAGTGTTTTACACTTAGTAAGTGACTGACCTTGTGTGTCTTCATTTATACACCTTTATTAAGAGTGGGGGAATTATTGATTAACCATTGAATAAAGAGCACACAGTCTTTTTTTTTTTTTTGAACACATCAGACATTTGCCACCATGGTGACATAGGGAAAGACTCTGGACACAAGTGTCTATCTTGTTTCAAGACAGGAGAATAGAGGTGACTCATTGAGAATACATTCGAAATTTCTGGGGACAGATCTCTAGTCTCCAGGCATTGGTTAACTAGGTCAAATCAGCAAAGCTCAACCCACTACCAAGCTGCAGAGCCAGATAGATTCTGGCACTACCTTGTAAAGCTTACTTCCAGGGCTGAGAAATTCCATAGGAGGGCAGTGACATGCATCTGGACTGTAGAAATGCTAATGGATAGATGCTGGGAAGATACTTACGGAGAGAGTCTGTGCACATATATAAATCATAGGTCATTATTCTATAGAGTCCTCAAACTACTTGTTTTTAATCTGGTTTCCCCTTTCAGCTTATTCAGACAATGCTCATGTTTGCCCCTTTATTAATTTTTGGTGAACCAGGATTACCAAATCTATAAACAGTGTTAAAGCTCTTTCAGTATCTGTGGGTTTTGAAGAAACTTCTAAGTAATTCTTGGACATGGTAAGTATAACTTACTTACCATGGGACTTTGGGATTACTGGCATTGAATGTACCTTGTTTTCTTCAGGATATTATGGCATGTATAATTTGTGAGGCCATGTAATTAGAATTCTGATAGAATTTGTTCTATTTTGGAGATCCAGAAAACAAAATATTGTTTAATTTTATAGTCAATAAATTCAACTAAAAATAAAAATAACTATATCTGATAAACCTCATTTCATAAAAAGTCAACAAATGCACCAAATGTAGTATTTTTCCTACAAATTAAGAGAAAGTGTGTGGTCTTATATTACTAGACACAGATAAAAAGGCAATAGTGAGCTTTTCTGGATTTAGGAAATAATTGGGGACCACGATTAGAGGAAACTACTGAGGCTTTAGTTCAAACATCACACCAATGGGTGTGACTTTCTTTGCACAGGGTCCCCCTGAGAGCACCCTTGACCTGAGCATTCCTCAGGCTGTAGATGAGGGGGTTCAGCATGGGATTGAAAAAACTGTAAAACAGGAAAAGAATCTTCTGTTGCTCCTCGGGGTGCTGAGATTTGGGGGCCATGTACATGATGATGGCACTGCCAAAAAAGAGTCCAACCACACAGAGGTGGGAGGAGCAGGTGGAGAAGGCCTTTCTGCGGCCCTCCCCTGACTGGATCTTCAGGATGGCCAACAGGATGCGTGTGTAGGAGACTAGTACAAAACACAGGGGTCCCACCAGTATGAATACACAGGCTGCAAAGATGACGACTTGGTTGAGCGTTGTGTCAGCACAGGCCAGCTTGAGGACAGACAGGATTTCACAGAAGAAGTGATTGATTTCATGGGGTCCACAGAAGGGCAGTCTCAGGATGAGGACTAAATGGACCAGAGCCAGAAGGAAGCTAAATATCCAGGAAGCAGCAGCCAGGATAGTACATACTCTCCAACTCATGATGACAGTGTAGTGTAGGGGATAACAGATGGCCACAAACCTATCATAGGACATTATCACAAGGAGAAGACATTCTGTGTGTGCAAAAGCCAAGAAGAGAAAGGTCTGTGTTATGCATCCTACAAAGGAGATGGGCTTCGTCTCATCCAAGAGGTTCACCAGTGTCTGGGGCACCGTGTTGCAGGCATAGGCCATATCGACAATGGCCAGGTGGGAAAGGAAGAAGTACATAGGAGTGTGGAGTCTGAAGTTCAGGCAAATTATTCCAAGGATGCTCCCATTCCCCAACAGGGTTACCATATAGAAGATAGAGAAAAGTAGAAAAAGGACTAGATGAATTCTTGGACCCAGACAGAATCCGAGCAGGATGAACTCTGTGACCACTGTCTGATTTTCTTCCATTTCTCTATGAGGGAGAGATAGAGAGTACTATAAGATGCAATCATATTAAAACATCTCTTTTATTTTTTAATTTCATCAGTGTTTTTGGTGTAGAATACTTTTAAAATATACTCTTAGAAATGTATTCAAGTAAACTAATTAAAAATATTACTTAACAAACAGTTAAATTGTGTGTCCATCTGCTCAAGTTTCTCTGTTGTTGTTCAGTTTTTAGAAGGGAAATAAGTCAGGAGTTACTGGCCTGGAACCATTGGCACTGATGTCATTAAGAACTACCAAACCGACTCTGCAATGCTGGCGCAGGCCTTTAATCCCAGCACTCAAGAGACAGAGGCAGGAGGATCTCTGTGAGTTTGAGGGCAACCTGGACTACAAAGTGAGTTCCAGGATAGCCAGAGCTGTAATGCAGAGAAACTGTCTTGAAAAACCCAAAACCAAACAAAGAATCCAAAACCAAAACACAAACTAAAACCCAAAACCCTCTATAAAACCTACCAAACTTTTATGTACAAACATAAAACATGAAATAGAGATCTTCAGAGTCTCATGTGTGCCACCTTGCTATATAAAAGAGTACGGGAACTTTTAGAAGGGTAGTGTCAGGAAAAATAGAAACTGTAGGTTGCATTGGTAGAAATCAGATTGTTGTTACAAATATTTAAACATTTGCAAAATTTAAATTGTAACTGGAGTATAGAGGCTGTTTTTGATGGGCAAGAATAACTGGATGCCTTCAGGAGCAGAAACTGAAGTTTAGCTCATGCACACCCTTAAAATGTTAGTGTGGAGGAAGTTGGTAGGAGAAATAATAAAATCTAACTATAGTCCTATATGAAATTATATATGCCTGCTTTTATTTGTCTAAAACATACATTCTATTGTTATATAAATTCATGTAAAATGTGCATCATTGTCTTGATAAATGAACACAAATCAATGTTTGATAATTTGGTAACTGAGTTATTAATGCAATAATATAATATAATACCTATTTTTCTACTTCTCTACACATACAAAGTAGGGCAGTTAGAATTCAGTTGAATGGAGTTACAGGACTAGACAATGAACTAGTCCAGATCTGTGTTCTTATAAACTCCTGGAGATTTGAAGGGTGCTCATGATTTGGGGTTTTCCAAATAGTAGTCTGCTTTGATTCCCCTTCTTGGTTTTATCAGAACAAAAATAGTCTAAAATGAAAATAAGGCAGAAAGACATTTAACTTATTCTTTTTAAGGCTTACAGAATGGTTGCATTTTATTAAACTATTCTTATCATGTCCATGTGCAGAGGTCAAAAGACAACCTCCAGAAGGCAACTCTCTCCGTTCATCATGTGGGTTCCAGGGAAATGAACTTGGGTTGATAGACTTAGCCGCAAGATCCTTTACCTGCTAAGTCCATTCTGCCTGTCCTACTCATTTTATTTTAATTCAATCCTTTCCATTGACAATGAATACCATATGTAAAACCTGAAATTAAGTTTGATAATTGGGTAACTGAGTCACTGAAAAAATTATTAATTCACTTTATATATTTTTTCTACATCTAGAAAGTACGGTAGTCAGTATTCAGTTGAATGGAGTTATAGGAATAGACACTGAACATTCCAGATTTGTATTCCATAAACCTGAAATTAAGTAATTTGTTATTTAAATGGACAGTAGAAAAGAGCAAGATGACCTCAGAATCAAGGATTATAATTCTCTGTAAGTAGGAAATTCAAAAAGTATTGACAAATTGATATTGTGGCTAGTCACTTTACAGAAATCTGAATGGACTAATTAGGTATAAATAGTTTACAAAAAACTTTCTGATTGTGATTTTGGACCATGCTTTCCTCACTTAACCTTGTGAAATACAATGTGGTTTCTGGTGAGAAATTTGCCAATTCCATTGCTTGGGCAACATATAGTGAAGCTTAGCGACTTTACACAAAGTTTGGTTAATAGGGATGACATGGAGTTTGGTTAGTCCGCAGTTTAACAGTTATCTGTAGCAAAGGATATGTTAATAAGTGTTTACTGAGGAATTGGCATGGGAGACAAAATTGGGTTCTTAAACAATTGTAAAATGTACATATAACTAATGAGAATAATGAACTAGAAGTGAAAAGGTCATTACAGTTGTTGGATATAATCTCCCAGAGATACGACTGGAAGATTTGAACAACCAGTAAGCTCAAATGCAATTGCTTTCATAAAATACCTGTCTGGAAAAAAGGTAAAAAAGAAGGGAGGATACAGATGTGGAGTGTAGACACCATGTCTATGAGGAAACATTTGGAAGTTGGTACAAAATGACCTTCAGGAGACAGGAACAAGGGACACCAGGAAGAGCAAGGTTTCTAGATGTCTGCATGCCACGTGGATGTGTGGGTGACTGGCCATCTATCACCTTACCTGTTAGGATTCCTGAAGAGCTCTTCCAGCTGTCATTTCATGTTGTTTACAGTCCTTGGGAATAAATCCCTTTACTTGAACAGGTGACTATACAAAAAGGAACATCTGATTAGCAAAATTTTCTGCTTGTATTACAGTTACATATTTAATTTTAAATAAAGAATATTTAGATATAATGGCTCATGCTTTATGTACTTGCACATTGATGGAGCATGGAAACAGTTTTTCTGAAGAAAATTTTCAAAACTAGATTCTAGAAAGCAGGGAACATACTCTAGACCAATACCACCTCTTTAATACCACACCTTGCAAAGAAATAATTTTCTTAAAAATGAAAACATGCTGTCTCTACCTTCATAGAAGCATTATTGACACAAAGTGAACTTATATTGACTGAAAATAATTAAAATTATACATGTTTTTAAAATTCCATGTTTTAAAATTTAATGTTAAATCAACCTGATTAATAAAGAGTGGTAATAACAAAGAGGGAGCAAACCGAGTCCTAGTAGCTTTACCAGTCCGGGAGGATTTAGTGAGTGAACCCTAAACACATATAACATATCTGAACATAAAACACAAACATTTCAACAGGAAGCAGCTAGAAGCTAGCACAAATCCTATCTCCTAAGATCTTCTATGGAGCTGCAGAAACCTCTCTGACTGAAATGCAGTCATGTCCTCAGGAACGGAGATGGTATTCCCTCAGGGCCCAATCTAGTTAGCAGCCCTTGATTGGGCACATGAAGAGCTATGCCATGAAACATCCTGTGTGCCTGTCTCTGCTGAAAGAAGCAACAAAGCAATTGTGTGTTTCTATTTCTGTTCTTGTCCCCAGCATACAATTAGGAAACAAAACCACCCAGCAGCACCTCTGAGACTACAACTCTCTTTAGAGTCCCTAACTACTTCTCAGTATTTGATCTCATAATTTCCAGAATAGCATTGTCCCCAGTCTCCATGGAATCTGGTAAGCCTGCCAGGAAACCGGACCACTGGAGGAGCTGCTGGCTTCCAGTCTTTAAGTCAAACTGCTTTGGCAGGTATTTGGGTGCCCTGGGCTGAAGCACACTTGGAGAAAAAAAAAATGACTCTAAAACACAACTGATTGCAAGTTGCACTCTATGTGGGTGGTGTCCTTAAGCTGCTTAGAAAAACATAAGGAAGATTGGGTAGTTCCAGGATGGGGGAAGTATTCCTGAGAGACTTTGGGGGATCTTATTTAAGGCAGTACCTTCTAAGGCACAAATATACTGGGAAGTTCTTAGTGATCTACTTCGGAATCTGTCCTTTCCTAGGAAGATCAGAGTCTCTAAAAGGTGGTTTCTTTATTAGCTATGTCTCTTCCAGAAAGATGGAGACACCCAATGCCAGAAGCATTTTTATTTTTATTTATTTTTTTAGGATATTGGGTATTGGAGAGATAATAATTGTAGTTGATACAATAGTAAATTTCTAACACAGTAGGTTTATTGCATTGTGATACTGATCTTCTGGGGTTAAACATAAACCCAATGGGAGATTCTCACATATTTTCCACCTTTTTATAAAAGAAGACAGCTCATTAGTTCCCCAGCTGCTCAGACCTGAATAATCACACAGAAACTATATTAATTACAGTACTGTTGGCTTATAGTTTACGTGCATTCCTAGATAGGTCTTGTATCTTAATTAACCTATTTCTATTAATCTGTGTATTTCCACAAGGCTGTGGCCTCTCGGTAAGGTTCTTGTGCTCTTCTTCAGCAGCTACATGGCATCTCTTTGACTTTGCTTACTCTTTCTATATATCTATTCAACCCTAGCAATATTCTGTCTTTCTATATGTCAAATCAGTTTCATTATTCACCAATGGTAATAAAACATGTTCATACCATATTGAGGGAATCCCACATCATCTCCCCTTTTATGTCTAAATGAAAAGAAAGGTTTTAGCTTTAAGATAGTAAAATTACATATAAAAACAAAAATCAAGCAAGAATTACAGTTAAAATACATATCTACATTGTCTTTTATCATAACTAGGGAAAACTATAACTATATCTATTCTTTAACTCCATCAAAGACTGAAGAAGGATATAGTATTATCTAAGTAAACAGGAAGTGCATTGTAAGCAACTTTCAAAACTCTAGAATTGACAGAGACATCTCGAAGCCTCAAAAGTCACCCCAAATACTTCTGTAACATTGGGGCATCCATTTTCAGCCTATAGGTTCATAATATTGAGCAGACTTTTCATTGAAGCAGGAAATTTGAATATCTATTCTGCTTTGTAATGGCAAAGTTCATCAGTTGCTTTTTTTCTGTGTTCTGCAGAATGTCTGGCAGTTTCTTCTGTGAAGCAGGAACCCTGAAGGACCATCCCATCTTTTGTAAAGTTCAGCAGTCACTCTTCTGTGGGTCCTGCATGTCCAGCCCATACAACATAGCATCAAGCAGTCCAGGCAAGAGCAGTTTCCTGCCCAAATGGCTATTCTTGTCATTCTGCGTGACTCATTCAGAGGTTTAATTATTGTCTGAATGTGTTTTTATTGTGTATCGGTAATCATTTTCTGACCAGAAACACCTTTTTTTTTTTTTTAAAAAAAATGAAAAGTGGGC